GGAAGTCAGGACTCATGTTACAGTTTTGAGAATCATTTAACATAGAGGGAATGGGCAAAGTCCTGGGAGTTAATAAAAGCTACAGTAAAAACTGATAATTGACATAACTAATTAGTTTATTAATAAGCAAAAATTAAAATTATAAACATTTATTAAGCCTTTAAAAAGTTCAATTTATAAATCTTGCTAGTCTATTTATAAATCTCATAATCTTTGCACAGAAATTTGGACAATAACTTTCACTTACACTCTGCGATTTAATTAATTCACAAGCTTAACGTACTGAATACTTCTTGAATATTTAACTAATTAAAATTTAAAGAATTTAAATAATTAAATTTTCTTGGATATTTTAAACTACAATTACAAACGTAACATATCCAGCATCTAACCAGTGAAATTTTATAAGCACTTAAGTAACTCTTTAAATCTAATAGCAATAAATCAATCTCAGACTTCCCTGGTGGCACAGTGGATAAGAAACTGCCTACCGATGCAGGGGACACAAGTTTGATCCCTGGTCCAGGAAGATTCCACATGCCACAAAGCAACTAAGCCCATGTGTCACAGCTACCGAAGCTCATGCACCTAGAGCCTGTGTGTACTCTGCAACAAGAGAAGCCACCACATTAAGAAGCCCACACACCGCAACTTGAGAGTAACCCCCATTCTTTGCAACTAGAAAAAAAGCCATGGGCAGCAATGAAGACCCAACACAATAAAAATAAATAAATTTAATTTTAAATAAATAAATCTCCTACTTGTGGTAACAAAATTCTCTTAAAAGTTCCACATATATTTTTTCTTCCAGTTTTATGGAAATATAATTGACATACCACACGATACAGGTTTAAAATGTACAACATTAGGATTTGATTTACGTACATCACAAAGTGGTTTTCACTAGTGAGCATCCATCATCTCATACATATACAAAGTTAAAGAAAAAGTGTATCTTGTGATGAGAACTCAGGATTTACTCTAACTTTCATGTACAACATACAGCAGTGTTAATTACACTTATCTTATTGTACACTGCATCCTTCATACTATCTATCTTATAACTGGAAATCTGTACCTTTTGACTGCCTTCATCCAATTTCCCCTCCCCCAACCCCCTAAACCCCGACCCTCCCCCCAAAAGATCTCAAAAGTTCACAAAGTACAGAACACCACAGTTATTAACTTTTACAGAAATAATGAAAATTGTATTAATTTACCACTTGTATATCAAAGGTGACATGTTGCAGTGGGCATGGAGATGTGCCACTCAGATCCTTCTTCAAGAAAGGACTTGCTTCCCTGCTCAGGGGTCAGAGGTATGATAAGCAGATGGCCTTCAGCTGTCAGCACATTAAGGTTCTGCCTCAGCTTTGGGTCCTGCCCTGCCCATGGCTGCCATATACTGTCGGAGGGAGGAAGAAGTACAAAGGGCAGAGTGGGACACTCCATCCTACAATACTGACTCCAGACCTCCCTGTCTCATCATCTGCTTTCAGCAAACCTAACTGCAGTGCAAATTAACTCACACAACCAACATGAACAGAATTGCTATCTCAGACCTCTTCCAGCACCTAAGACTTCAAATCTGGTATATCAGTCATAAATCCTGTTACTACTCCCCAAGATGATTTTCCTTGAGCTCCAAGTAACTAACAGAGTTCCTTTTTAATGGTGAAGCTCTACCTGCTTACCCAACATATTCAGTTCAGTTCAGTCCCTCAGTCATGTCCAACTCTTTGCAACCCCATGGACTGCAGCACGCCAGGCCTCCCTGTCTATCACCAACTCCCAGAGTTTACTCAAACTCATGTCCATGATGAGTTGAGTCAGTGATGCCATCCAACCATCTCATCCTCTGTCATCCCCTTCTCCCACTTTCAATCTTTCCCAGCATCAGGTTCTTTTCAAATGAGTCAGCTCTTTGCATCAGGTGGCCAAAGTATTGGAGTTTCAGCTTCAACATCAGTCCTTCCAATGAATATTCAGGGCTGATTTTAATCTTATCTGAAACCATTTTCTGCTTGATATTAATATGCATGAGCACACCCCACTTAGATACATATAGCTTATAGTTTCTACAACCTCATTGTACCTAATCTTGGTGACACATGGTGGCAGACATGGAAATATGCCACTCAGATGCCAATTGGCTGTGGGAACTTGGGCAATTTATTTACCAATCCATGCTCAATTTCCTTATCTGTAAAACAGGGTTTGTCATCTGATAGGCAAAATAAAGGACAAAAACAGGAAGAACCTAAAGAAGCAGAAGAGATTAAGAAGAGGAGGCAAGAACACACAGAAGAACTGTACAAAAAAGGTCTTAATGACTTGGGTAACCACAATGGCATGATCACTCACCTAGAGCCAGACATCCTGGAGTGTGAAGTCAAGAGGGCATTAGGAAGCATTACAACAAACAAAGCTAGTGGAGGTGATGGAATTCCAGATGAGCTATAAAATCCTAAAAGATGATGCTGTTAAAGTACTGAACTCAATAGGTCAGCAAATTTGGAAAACTCAGCAATGGCCACAATACTGGGAAAGGTCAGTTTTCATTCCAATCCCAAAAAAGGGCAATGCTGAGTAATGCTCAAACTACCGTACAATTGCACTTCACATACTTGCAAGGTAATGTTCAGCAGTACATGAACTGAGAACTTCCAGATGTACAAACTGGATTTAGATCCGTGGGAGCATAGAGAAAGCAAGGGAATTCCAGAAAAACATCTGCTTCACTGACTATGCTGAAGCCTTTGACTCTGTGGATCACAACTAACTGTAGAAAATTCTAAAAGAGATGAGAATACCAGACCACATTTTCTGTCTCCTGAGAAACCTGTATGCAGCAAGAAGCAACAGTTAGAACTGGGCATGGAACAACAGACTGGTTCAAAATTGGGAAAGGAGTATGTCAAGTACATATATTGTCACCCTACTTATTTAACTTATATGCAGAATACACCATGTGAAATGCAGGGCTGGATGAATCAAAAGCTGCAATCAAGATTGCCAGGAGAAATATCAACAATCTCAGATATGCAGATGATACCACTCTAATGGCAGAAAGGGAAGAGGAACTAAAGAGCCTCTTGATGAAGGTGAAAGAAGAGAGTGAAAAAACTGCCTTAAAACTCAACATTCAAAAAACTAAGATCACGGCATCTGGTCCCACCACTTCATGGCAAATAGAAGGGGAAAAAGTGGAAACAGTGACATATTTTCTTTTCCTGGGCTCCAAAATCACTGTGGACAGTGACTGCAGCCATGAAATTAAAACACTCTTGCCCCTTGAAAGAAAAAGCTATGACAAACCTAGACAGCATATTAAAAAGCAGAGACATCACTTTCTCAACAAAAGTCCATATAGTTAAAGCTATAGTTTTTCCCATAGTCATGTACAGTTGTGAGAGTTGGACCATAAAGAAGATTGAGCGCCAAAGAATTGATGCTCTCGAATTGTGGTGCTAAAGAAGACTCTTGAGAGTCCCTTGGACTGCTAGGAGATCAAACCATTCGATCCTAAAGGAAATCAACCTTGAATATTCATTGGAAGGACTGGTGCTGAAGCTGAAGCTCCAATCCTTTGACCAACTGATCTGAAGAACTGACTGATTGGAAAAGATCCTGATGCTGGGAAAAACTGAGGGCAGGAGGAGAAGGGGGCGACAGAGGATGAGATGACTGGATGGCATCACTGACTCAATGGACATGAGTTTGAGCAAGCTCCATGAGACGGTGAAGGACAGGGAAACCTGATCTGCTGCAGTTCCTGGGGTCACCAAGAGCCGGCACGATTTGGTGACTAAACCACACCTTATAGGGTTGTAAATAGTAAATGAGCTAATACTTTAGAAAGTGTGTAGATAGAACAGCCCCTGCCCATACTGTGTATTCAGTAAATGCTACCCATTACCACTATTGGTCAGTTTCACATTGCCTGTATATTTTATGTCTCAGCAACCAACATTCTATAATAATCTATTGACTAAGCAACTACAGAAAAAGTTCTTATATTTCAAACCCCTTACTGATCAGACTGCAGATTAAAAAAAAAAAAAAAGACTGCAGATTTTAGGACCAAGGTAAATTCGAGACTTTACTTCAGTTCAATTTGTTATCAGCTGAATGTTTTGAATTATTTCATTCCATGAAAACGTAAACCAGATGTGTGAAGATTAAATTGGGAGCATATTTGTAAAAGGCCTTTCTGAACTAGAAAATTTACGAAAATGTGGGATATTTTTCCAACACTGTTAAGAGCTAGACAATTCCTTCAGTTACAATATGATCTTCGCTCTTAAAGTAAAATTTCGCCCCTCAGCAAAGTGACTTCCCCTTTGGTGGTTCAAAAGCTCAAATGAAACCAATTTAACAGGAATAATTTTAAAATAATAATGAAGACATTTGGATAGTCTACCATGGGGCAAAGTTCTGAAGATGTTGAAATGACTGTAAAACATTAAGAACCAAATGTTGACATCTATTATCAATCTTAGGAAATCATCTAGTTCAGTCCTCCCAAAGATTCTGTTAAATAAGATGTTAGACGTCCTTCAACGCCGAAGAAATTTATTCATATGTCCAAGAGCAAATTTAGGAAAAACAAAAGCTGCCCTTGCTTTTGACCACAAGTTAGGAATTTTCTATCATTGGTGCAGCGCCTGAAAACAAGATTCAACTTTCTTGACTTGGCTGTTTCTATGGGGCCTTGAAAATCTAAAATATTGCAAACAATTGGACTCACTGCTTAATTCTACCCGTACTTCAACGAATTCCTTCCAAGAAGTGTGCATATTTCAAGATGCCAATTTGGAAAAACAGAGACGGATCTTACACAAAATGGAATTGAACACACGGCTCAAGCCTTTTGCTGTGCTGTTTTTAAACCAGGGGAAGGGGATAGGAGAACTAAGCTTAAAACACCCGAAGTAGCAGCTATCAAACAAGTGTTCTAGAGCGCTGCGCGTTCCTAGGGGAAGGAGCCACTAGCGGAGGGTGCAAAGACACAGCAAGCGGACTCTTTCCCATTGACACTGCTAAGACGCCGCCATCCCTACATATTCCTACACGTGGCTCCCGACCCCCTGTGCGGTCGCCAGGGAGCTCTGGAGAGAGCAGCGCCCCGGGGACAGCACGCTCAGCTCCCAGCTCGGCCCACTAGGGGCCCCTGACAAGCCAGCTTCTGGGAGGGGCGGGGAAGAGAGAGGGCGTTTTCTGCCCGGATTCCAGTGGGAAAACGAGGAAATGAGGAGGCGGTTGCGCAACCTGGGCTTGGGGTGCGGCTCCGGGAACAAAGAGCGCGAACAGCCGAGGCTCTGCAAATGCACTCAAATCAACACCGGGGCTGAGCCCTACTGCATAAAGACACGCAGGTTTCTCGAAGCCAATCCAGCGCTACAGGATCACAAGTGCTATCTCGCAGCACCCAGGACTCTGCATTGTAAACAAACGCCCGGGCTGCTCGAACCCAGGGACATTTGAAAACTATCGCTTCTCATCGGTATTAGCTCTGCCTCAAGCGAACGCCCTAATCCGGAGCGTTAGCGGCGGCTGCGGCCGGCTCGCTCCTCAACCGAGCTTGGTCCTTTCCTTTGGTCCCGCCCCACTGCTCAGCGCGGATAGGTGGCGGGGAGCAATTCTGGCGCTGATTGGGCAGCGGCAAAGTCGCTCATGGAGACTGTAAGTGGGGGTGCCCTAGCGTGCTAAATTTATCTTCAGACAAGCGACCGCGCCAGCCGCGAATCGGATGTCTATGGAGGTGGCATAGGCGATATCCCTGAGCTGAGAGCATCGCCCGGCCCCCCGAATCCTTCTTCCCTCTGTTTTGTTTTTCATTTTCCCCCTCCCGCCCCCCCTCCAGTCCGCGACGACTGGCTCTTGACCCCGTTCAGGCCTCGGTGAAGGTGAGGACCAGAGCCGCCGTGGCGGCTGAGTGGTGCGCTCTGAAATGGCCGCTGCCGTGAGCTTTGTAAAATGGCGGGCGCCGGCTCTGCTGGGGACCGCGGCGCTGCTCTGCAGCCCAGCCGCAGCAGAGACCATTCTCTTCATCGCTGATGGAGATGAAAGAGAAAGATAGTGTCGGGTTCTGAGACGGTTTCCTGTGGTTGTTAGCTAAGGCGACCGCCCGGGGACGCGAGAGGAGTTCCGTAGGCGAGGGTGGACTCCCACAGGAAGCCAGCCCCAGCTGTGGCTGGCAGCGCGCACCTGTGACAAGGAGGAGCCGAGGGATATAGCTGGCTGGGCAGCCCATCGAAGTGACCGTTTTAAAAAGCACTTAGGTACTCGATGGGGTGTCCGTGCCCACTTCCTACCTCAGCCTTTTGAACAGTCTGCACTCCACCCCAGCCCTCCTGCCCCAAGGGTATTGTTCAGAGCGGGAACCACCCGAGGGAGGGGGTGAATGGATGGTGTTACCGGTCAGTTTAGCCAGAAGAGACAAAAGATGAGGGTTCCCCCCGGTCCTTTTCAGGGAGTCAGATAGAAACTTTACTCTTCAGGGAGTCCAGTCTCTTTGTCCTCGAGAGATTCAGGAGAGCACCTCTGAAAAGGTGGAGATTAGGCCCTCTTTCCTGAAAACAAGCACCACTCCGTGTGTCCTTCCCTAGCAGCAAGGGAGAAGGATAGTAAACTTTTAGGTCACCATTGACTCCACGAAGTTCTCTGCAACTAAGGGCCATTCAGGACTGTGGTAGAACAGTCTGCTCTTTTGCTGCCAATGATGAAGGTGTACGGCATTCTGCTGCCAGTTTGAGACCCTCGACTTTTCTGGCAATAGTAACCCATTGCATAGATCATTCCTTTCTCTGTGCACCATCCAACTCCTGGTCCCAGATTTTTAGTGCTTGTGAAATTAAGATATTTGGGGACACACAAGCAATGACTAGGCACTTGGGATCTGCAGTCGAACTTTCTGGGTATGTTCTTAGTTCTTCACAGATGTGTTAACTTAGCAGGGGACTTAAGCTCCCATTTGTTCATCCTTAAAGGATTATTAATAATAGTCCCTAACTCTCAAGTTCGTTTTGAGGATTAAATGAGCTTGTCTATGAGGGATTTCGCAGTTACTGGCACATGGTAAACAATGATCCCTCAGTGAATGTTAGTAACCTTAAGGATCTTGGTTATTGAGGAAAGGGTGGTTATAACAAAAAGGCATAGTTCTTGTAACATTTCCGTGTATAATTCCATTTTAGATTACTTAAGATGCTTAGTTTTAGAGACATTAAGTTGTGGCTATACTTGAAAAAGTTAGGTTTAGTTTCTGAGAGTTTTATGTCTTTCTGTGAGTCAGTGGATGGGGAAGCATTTCAAAACAATGAAATTACCAGAGTATTAAATAGGATAAAATATTAGCACTTTTATTATGTTAGACATCCATTTCGGTCTAAGATCTGCACTTCAGTGAGGAATCATTTGCACTGCCCGGCTCTAAAATAAATTGTAAGGAATGGTCATCTTAGAGGTTTATAGCTAGTTCTATTTTTACAGTGTCTAATTTTAATTTTTCTCATTCTAGGCTTTGGTTACTCCCCTTCCACCCTATCCCTTAATTTTATTTTTTTGAAGAGTCTGCATTTCAAGCTTCCAAGGTGGAGAGTGATTGCAGAAGAGAGTGCTCCTCATTTCAGGTATCTTTACCCTCTAGCTGTTAATAGGAAAACCCTTTTGATTCAGGATCTAATAAAAGAATCCAAAGATTACTCTGTAGCCAAATCATGAAGTTTAAATCAAAAGTAACTACATTTGGATAGATACTAAAGTTGAATGCCTTTAACCTTATAAAGCTAGTATTCTTCAGAAGTCCTAAAATTTGCATTACCATTCCATTTTATGATGCTTTTTAAAAAGTATTGTGTGAGGAATAAATCTATTAAAATGAGAGTTTATGTTTTCTTTAGGTCCTTGTTAAGCCTTCACCTAAAGAATAATGGGATGCTGAGTACTTAGTAAAATATATGTATTACTTTGAATGAGTCTAATTTGGGATAATATAAATATTTATGTAATTTTAAGTCCAAAGAAATAGTAGCTAATTTTTGGATTACACTTTATTTTTCAGTGTTAACACACAATATTTAGATATAACAGAATTCTATATCTTGCAAAACTTTGAACTGTTTGTGTGTTTTTGAAGTAGCTCGTCAGAATAGTTGTGAGCCCTAAAAGAAGCCTTAAGATGTGTAACAATGTCAACAATGAGTGTATCTAATGGCAGTAGGCATCAGAAAGCCAAGAGATTCCAAGATACTGTGTACAGTGAAAGGGTATACAGTGGGTGAATTATGGCCCCATGCTGCCTGTTTTTGGAAATAGAGATTTATTGGAACACAGCTGTGCCCTTCTAATGTATTGTCTATGGCTGTTCCCATTCTCCAACTACAGAGTTGAGTAGTTGTAATAGAGACCATATGGCCCAATAGGTAAAAAACATTTATCATATGGTACTTTATGGGAAAAATTGGCCAACCCTGCCATGGGACCTCAAGATCCCTTCCTTAAAAATACACTTATCAGCTCTTTATTATTTCTTGGTCCAATGGTTCCCAAACTATGTTTTATAGAGTATTAATGTTATCTAAGTTAATGAGCATTGTGAGAAAAAGATAAATGCTAACAATATTTTTCTTTATAATTTATTTTAAAATGTAAGTTTAAGACTACTAAACTCATTTCTATAGCTTTTATTTTTATGTGATAATCTACCTTTAAGAAAAGGTGTGCCATACCCGAGAGCACCAGGAAGTCGAATGAGAGATCACCTGATACACGAACGTGTGATGTTCCATCTGCGCATTGATGCATAGGCAGCATTTACAAATTAACTGATGTGTTGCTATATATCATCTCTTTGATGATTGCTCATCTTCTATGTATCTTGTCTTATAATGTCAACACATTTGTGATACTCAATGTTTATGCTAAATTAACCATGTTTTGTACCACAAATTCATTGCCTATGGATCTGTTGCTGAAACAAGGAAGTCTTAAACAAGAAGTAGAATCTTTTTGTTATCAAATTGTGTCTGAATCACATGATCAAAAGGTTGGAATATTACAAAGTGAAGATGAGCAGTTGCAGCCTTCAGTTTCTAAAAATTCAGAAGGTGAGCTTTCCAGGGTTAAATTTATGTCCAATTCCAACAAAATAACTACTTTTAGTAAGAAACCAAAAAGAAGAAAATATGATGAAAGTTATTTGTCTTTTGGATTTACTTACTTTGGAAATAGAGATGCACCTCATGCTCAGTGTGTATTATGTAAGAAAATTTTATCAAATAGCTCTTTGGCCCCTAGTAAGCTTCGAAGACATTTGGAAACTAAACATGCTGCATATAAAGACAAAGACATAAGTTTTTTCAAACAGCATCTTGATTCACCTGAAAATAATAAACCCCCAACACCTAAAATTGTCAATACAGATAATGAAAGTGCTACAGAAGCATCATACAATGTAAGTTACCATATAGCCCTGAGTGGAGAGGCTCATACTATTGGAGAATTGCTTATCAAGCCTTGTGCAAAAGATGTCGTGATGCGGATGTTTGACGAACAGTATAGTAAAAAAATAGATGCAGTACAACTATCAAACAGTACCGTTGCTCGTCGAATTAAGGATCTAGCTGCTGACATTGAAGAGGAACTTGTTTGTAGACTGAAAATTTGTGATGGGTTTTCACTGCAACTAGATGAATCAGCTGATGTTTCAGGACTTGCCGTGCTGCTTGTGTTTGTTCGTTACAGGTTTAATAAGTCTATTGAGGAAGACCTACTCTTATGTGAATCTTTGCAAAGTAATGCCACTGGTGAAGAAATTTTCAACTGCATCAATAGTTTTATGCAGAAACATGAAATTGAATGGGAAAAATGTGTTGATGTTTGTAGTGATGCTTCTAGGGCAATGGATGGGAAAATTGCTGAGGCTGTCACCTTGATAAAATATGTGGCTCCCGAAAGCACCAGTAGTCACTGCCTATTATATAGACATGCACTAGCAGTTAAAACAATGCCTACGTCTCTGAAAAATGTGCTAGATCAGGCAGTACAAATCATCAATTATATTAAAGCTCGACCACATCAATCCAGACTACTAAAAATTTTATGTGAAGAAATGGGTGCCCAGCATACAGCACTTCTTCTAAATACAGAGGTAAGGTGGCTTTCCCGAGGTAAAGTTCTTGTGAGACTTTTTGAGCTTCGTCGTGAACTGTTGGTTTTCATGGATTCTGCTTTTCGACTGTCTGATTGTTTAACGAATTCATCTTGGCTGCTAAGACTTGCATATCTTGCAGATATTTTTACTAAATTAAATGAGGTTAATCTGTCAATGCAAGGAAAAAATGTGACAGTTTTTACAGTATTTGATAAAATGTCATCATTGTTAAGAAAATTGGAATTTTGGGCCTCATCTGTCGAAGAAGAAAACTTTGATTGTTTCCCTACACTCAGTGACTTTTTGACTGAAATTAATTCTACAGTTGATAAAGATATTTGCAGTGCCATTGTGCAGCACCTAAGGGGTTTGCGTTCTACTTTGTTGAAATATTTTCCTGTAACAAACGACAGTCATGCTTGGGTTAGAAATCCATTTACAGTAACTGTTAAACCAGCCTCTTTAGTGGCACGGGACTATGAGAGCCTGATTGATTTAACATCTGATTCTCAAGTGAAACAAAATTTCAGTGAACTTTCACTAAATGGTTTTTGGAGTAGCCTAATTCAGGAGTACCCAAGTGTTGCACGCCGTGCAGTTCGCGTACTTCTTCCTTTTGCTACAATGCACCTGTGTGAGACAGGCTTTTCATATTATGCTGCCACAAAAACAAAATACAGGAAAAGACTGGATGCTGCACCTCATATGCGGATCCGACTTAGCAACATTACACCTAATATTAAGCGAATATGTGATAAAAAGACACAAAAACACTGTTCTCATTAAAGTTGGAGGGTTATGCATGCCTCTGGATAGCCAAATATAAGGTGAAAATAAAAGATGATTTACTTCACTGATGGTATCTTGGGGTTTTAAATAAAATTATTCAAATTTTTTACACTTTTTAGATTTTGAGAAGGGTAAAGAATCACAAATTTAAACATGTACTGCTGTTGGTGATTCTTCTTCACATTGTAATATCAAAGGGTTCCAGGGTGATGGCTGTGGAAATTATTGACTCACAGGATGAAGTTACAGTTCCTTAGCATGACATTCCTTTTTAGGATCTCATCAGTGCCAGTCTTTCTAACCATGCCACCCTGTAGCTGTCCAGTCACAGGGACCTTCTTGCCTAAACATACCACTGTTTCATGCTTTCAGGTGTCAAAAAAAACATTCCTTCTCCTTGATTCCTGAAAAACTCCTATTTGCTTTTCAACCCATTAATTTAATTTATCTTCAGTATTTGCATTCTCTTTATCTATTTTTTGTGTATGTCTCAACTGTGATCCTCTTGGTGTTCTCATAAATCCCAGTGTTACTGGACTGAGCTGTTATATGGTCTTATCCAGCTCTGTGTCTCCATTATCTGGTAGAGGACCTTGCTAATGTAGGACCTTGCTCAATAAAGGAAAAATCGTTGGTGAAAGTGAATCAGTGAAAAATGGAATAGGATATGGTAGTTATATTTGTTTGTTCTTGTGTATTGATACTACTCTCTGTGGTCTTGGCTCAGTTATTCAGTTACCTAGAATTTAGTGTGGCCATTAGGCAGAAGTTACTGGAGAATGTCAGGGCTTTGATTCAAGCTGAATACTAGGGGAGATGGAGGGAGTATGAAAAACATTTTCAGGTCAGCAACTCAGGGTTAAGTATTTTTGTGTTATTCCTATAGTAGTATTTTGTGTTATTCCTGTAGTAGGCTACTAGATAGCTACAGATAGCCATTATTTATTTAATCTTAATTATTCAAACTTATTTCCCATTTTGAGGAAGAGGAGTGTCTCCCCTTTCAAGGTGGAACATGATACAGGATTTTAGTTCTCTGAACAGGGATTGAACCCAGGCTCGCAGCAGTGAGAGCTCAGAGTCCTAACCACTGGACTACCAGGAAATTCCCTAACTAGCTTTTCAACTTTGCTCAGTCTGAGCCTTCCTGAACCTATTATCTCATTTGTAAAATTTTAATTACGCCTTCTCTGAAGAGTTAGTAAGATGAAATGAGTATGTATATAAATCTAACAGTAGATAGTCAGATAAGTGTCTTACATTAGTTCTTGCCATATTCAACCATGTCCCAGTCAAACTTCACTCCACACTGACTCTTCCAGTCTCAATGTTTATTCTCTGTGAAGACGCAACAGCATTCCAGGCTATAGGACCTGACCTAATCTGAGACAGCAAGATTGAGTATTTTTAGCCCAGGTTCTTTTCTCCTTTGTCACATCATTAAGCACTTATTTATCTTTCAGTCACCCAATTAGGTGATTTTATGTTATCAGTAATCTTTATGACAATCCTGTGGGATTAGGTAATTTTTTAATTTGCCTAGAGTCACACAATAAGTAGCAGAACTTAGTTTAAAATGGTCTTTTCTGGCAGTATTTTAGCCATTATTGCATTTCAAACGTTTCTAAGAGCATGAGACAATGACTTGGGATTATGGCTAAAAGCTCCCTACTAAAATGTTCACCTTTCTTTGAAATCTGTTGTGGTTTCTTCTCTAAATTCATCCAAGATAGCCGTCTACATCAAAGTATCACTGCTTATTTTAATATAAAAAATGTAGCACAGGGATTAAATTGCTATTAAGTAAAATTAATTCTCTAGAAAGATTCATCCTAACTACTCACATGGAGTACTAATCTCAGAATTAAATGTACCCTATTTTAAGAAATATGTACAATGCTTTCATGTGTCCATCTGGCTGGTTCCTCAAGTGGAAGAAAGAACCTGACTCTCTGTGTGATTTCTGAACCCAAGCCTTTGCTTAAGTACCTGGCCAGGATGTCAGCCTCTTGAGGTACAAGGCCTCACTTTGTAATCCTTTGTCCCTAACCACTTCCTCTGAGAGTCTCCTTTTCTGCATTTAAGCCCAAGTCTATTGACTTGAGACTCTGCTAACTGCTACAAGATCTGTTTAATGCCAACACTGCCCAACTTGGTTCTTGATGTCAACTCCTTACCTGCTCTATAACCTATGAGGACTAATCTATGGGTACTGTGTACAGCTAGTGTGAATAAACTTTTCTACATAAAGGTGGGTCTTGTACCTGTTGAATGATAGGCAAGTCTTGTTCCAGACAGCAATTTCCGTACTATTCTAACCTACTGAAATTCCATGACTGAATCCCAAAAGTTTCTTTTCCTTTATGTTTAAACTCTACCTCCTTCAGAATCAGCCTTCCTTAAATACAACCAAAGTAGACAAAGTTAAGCCTTGGGCACTGAGATTCCCTTTCTTTTGTACCTCCAATGCCCTTTGTTTGCCCTTCTGCCAGTATTCTGTTAGGTTCTGGATGTTAGAAACTGTTTGGAACGAGAGAGAAGACTGACAAACCCCTTCACACAAAAGAGAAAACCATAGGAAGAAATGGATGGCATTCTTCTTGCAAGAGAGATTTAGGGCCTAAATAACATGGCACCTTCAAATGACAGCTACCCTGCCTGTGCACAAAACAGTGAAGTTCCCATAATGTGTCCCAACCTAAGAGGGCTTTCCCACTTTTTTTTTTTTTTTTGCCAGTTCCTGAAATTAATTTAACTGGATCCACACTTTCCTTAAAATATCAACAGTTGGTTTTTGTATTAGACAAGGCTCTCAATTGTAATTTATAGGAAACCAAATCAAACTTAACAGGTACTTCCCTGGCAGTCCAGTGACTAAGACTCCATGCTTCCACTGCAGGGGGCACAGGATTGATCCCTGGCCAGGGAACTAGATCCCACATGGGGCTGTGCCATCTCCCTCCATACTCTCTACTGCTTCCTAGTCCAGGAAAGGCCAAATCAGCTTAAGAAAGTTTACTTACTGGTCAGTGTTTGTGGTAGCCTCAGGGATAACTGGATCTGTTTAGATGATATTATCAGGGATCTCTTCATCTCTGTGGCTTTTTTGTTTTGTTATATTGAGGTAAAGTTAAAATACAATATTAAATGTACATTATCCCACTTTTAATTCACATGTTTCAAGTACAGCTGACCCTTGAACAACACAGGTTTAAATTGCTTGGGTCCACGTATACCCAGATTTTTTTCAGTAGTAAATTACAGAGTATTTACACTATCCATGGTTAGTTAAATCTGTGGCTAGAGAGGGCTGACTAAATGATATGCAGATTTTCAACTTTGTAAAGGGTTGGCACCCCTGACCCCATGTTCAAAGGTCAACTGTAATTGAAATTGCCTTGATTTTTTTTTTTGTCTTTTTTAAAAATGTTATTAAAGTTTAGTTGATTTACAGTGTTGTGTTGATTTCTGCTATACAGCAAAGTGATTCAGTTATATATATCTTTTTCATATTCTTTTCCAGTATGATTTATCACAGGGTATTGAATATAGTTCCCTGTGCTATACCTTGTTGTTTGTTTATTCATCCTATACATAACAGTATAATAATTGTATCTGCTAATCCCAGACTCCCAGTCCTTCCCTCCCCACTGCCTTTCCACCTGCCTGGATTTCTTAATGAGGATCATTTCCTGTGTCAGTCTTGCCCTAGTATCACGTGTTGTTGTTCGGTTGTTAAGTCATGTTGGTCTCTTTTGCAGCAAACTCCATGGACTGTAACCCACCAGGCTCCTCTGTCCATGGGATTTCCCAGACAAGAATACTGGAATAAGTTGCCATTTCCTTCACTAAGGGATCTTCCCGACCCAAGGCTCGAACCCTTGTCTCCTGAATTGGCAGGTGGATTCTTTGCCACTGAGCCACCTGAGTACCACACATATACTATATAAATACACAAATGGTAACCTCATAGCTTAGAATTCTTTTGGATCATTCATAGAGTTTAGAAAATTTCTAATCATACTGTAAGTGCTCAGTGAATTGAATTCCCTAACTTGAAAAGTACAAGTATTACAGTGAAATATAATTCATACTGTAACATTATGAAAATTAGCTTTAAAATCCTTGTCTCACTTAAATCAGGTAGTAACTTTTTGTCTTTTTTTTTTACTCTATACAAGGTTTTCTTTTTGTAGGAAAATATACAGTACACAAAATTTAACCATTTTAAGCACTCTTAAGTGTATAGTTCAATGACATTAAGGACATTGACAGTGTTGCACAACCATCACGATCATCCATCTCCAGAACTTTTTCATCTCCCCATACTGAAACTGTCTCCATTAAATACTAATTTCCCCACAATTCCCCTCCGATAGTCCTTGGCACTCATCATTCTTAATTTCTGTCTCTGTGAACTTGGCTAATCTTGGGACCTCATAGTGGAATCATAGAGTATTTGTCCTTTGTCTGATTTCATTCTGCTTATAATGTCTTCTAGGTTTGACTATGTTGTAGCATGTGTCAAAATTTCCTCTTTTTAAGGCTGAGTAGTATTTGTGTGTGTGTGTGTGTGTGTGTGTACATTTTGTTTATCCATTCATCCATCAGTGGACATTTGGTTTATATTTGTTTTTGGCTACTATGAATAATGCTATTCATATATTCATGTGAACTCCCATGTGAACATGGGAGTACAAATATCTTTTGACTCCCCAGAGCAGCATTTCTTTAATAAGCTCCCCTATTTCCTTAAAAGTGCAATTTTTTATTCTCCAAAATAAACTCACATATAACTCCTGAAAGAATCCATAACTGTGTAAATCTAGATGCCTCTGGAACATACATATGTTATTTAATTTTTTCAAGTTGGTATAATTGCACCATTAATTAGTGCAATGGAAAGAATTCTGAAACAACTGTCAAGAGACTTGTGTTCTGCAACTAATTAACTGCCTTAAGTTCATCCTTTCTAGGCTTTGGTTGCTTCACTTATGAAATGAAAGGGGTTGAACTAGAATGAGTTCTAAGGTTCTTGTCAAATAAGATAAAAATTTTAACCTA